AGCATTATCTTCGACCCTTTCAACAATTTAACTCTGCAACTGCCCATTGAGAACAACTGGCAGAAAGAGATCCTGTACTTTCCGCTCCACAAACGACCAGTTCGGATCGACATAGACATTGACAAACATTCAACCATCAAAGCCTTGAAGGAATTTGTGGCTTTGAGGACACATGCCGATGTGGAACGACTGCTTGTTGCCGAGTCTTACAAGAACAAGATTTACAAGATTTTTGATAACAACATCGTCATCTCAGAAGCAAACATCCAAACTAACGACATCATCTGCATGTACGAACTGGAATCCGTCCCGACCAATTACAATCCAAACAAGGCGCGGAAATTCAGCTTGTACATGACCAAATCTGACGCAGACGATGAAATGGTTGAAGCAGACAGCCCTGAAGCAGACCGGCTCCTAGTACCAATGTATAACCGGCTTGTCAAGAATCCTTCTGCGCGGGTGGCCTCAAAACCCTTCTTTGGCCAACCTACGTACCTTGTGCTGAGTCGCGAAGACAGGTCCTCCTACGACGGTGTGATGAAGAAGATTCTGGGAAATATTACGGGGATGACAACAAAGAGGATACATGACGAAGAGGATAGCCCCTCGGACGATGGGCTGGGAACACCAGAAGGCTCCGACACCATGGTGATGAACGACGACATGTCCAGTTCTGGCTCGGGCCTTCCAACTGCCATCTCTGTGCAGGGTGAAGATGGCCTCGTAGATGTGTCCATGCGAGATGCTAGTCAAGCTCCTGAACTCAGACCCCAGCCCACCGAGGCTGGTCTGCAGAAACTACTGCAGTCAAAGTCGCCAGTTCCCCGCCGATTCCAGCAACTTTTCGATGTTCAGGTCGCTTCTACTGGGGAGGGCATCCCTACGGGCTGGAGTCAAATCTCTGAGACTGGAGAATATGAGTCTATCAAAAATCGAATTCCTAAGCCAGTATCTCGGTCGGTAAAGTCGGCTGGTGGTCTTGGTCTTGCGAATGGCGAGAGTGGTTCTGCAGAGAGTGAGGATGAGCTTGCGGACATCGAGACTGATGACACTCCTATGGACAGCAACGAGTCCGGGTCGGAGGCCAGTCCGGTCTTTCCCTCTGGACCCGACTCGGAATCCGAGCTTCAAGAACCCCAAGAGATCCTGCCCAGTCGGAACAAGAAAGCGCACAAGTACGGCAAAAATAAGAACAGAGGCAAATTCTCGGCCAGACGCACGCAACACCGTCGATCACCTTTACCACCTCCTCAGCCATTGCCCAAAGCCCAGACTGGAGATCTTATCCGACCAGGCGAAGCCATCATCCTTGACTGGAGCCAAGACGGCTATGATGCATTATTTGGTGGTAGTGAGGACGGTAGCGAGGGCTATCGCGGACTTCCGACATGGAAGAGCGTTGGCCTGTTGCCTGATCCGGAAATCGCGGCAAAACGTGAGCAGCGAAACAGCCGTAAGAAGCATGGAATCACATTGGTAGACTGTCTGAACGAATTTGGCAAATCCGAGACCCTGTCTGAACAGAATGCCTGGTATTGTCCTCGATGCAAAGAGCACCGCCGAGCCGATAAAATGTTTGAGTTATGGAAAGCGCCCGATATCCTTGTCATGCACCTGAAGCGGTTCAGTTCTAACAGAAACTTCCGTGACAAGCTTGAAGTGAGGGTTGATTATCCCACAGAAGGGCTTGATCTTTCAGGAATGGTGAGAGATCAGCAAGACGGCAAGAGCTTGATCTATGACTTGATCGCGGTTGATAACCATTACGGTGGCTTGGGAGGTGGGCATTACACGGCATACGCGAAGAACTTTTACAACAACAGCTGGTACGAATACAATGGTGAGTTACTCAAATTCCGTGTGCCCGGATCCGCCGCTGACTGGTCTAGACTCTCATGTCTCATCAAAGACGGACCCAAGATCGGTCGTGACCAGTGCCGCGTACCTCCTGTTCTACCGTCGACGGTCGGATCACCCTTTAGGTGGACCCAGGCTTCAGGAACTACTACAAGAGTCCAATTCCAACAACAACGATGCCGCAGCCGACTCTGAGCTGCCACAAGACTCGCGTGATTCTTCTCCGATGACGGGGGAAGGTCGGCGTCTCGGCGACTCCTCCCACAATGGGTCGTCGAGCGCTTTTCCAGTCGGTCACGGTCACCGCGTGGGAGCGGGACCGGGTGGCTCGGCGCTGGGAGAAGGAAGTCAGCAGAGTCGAGGTCTGTTAGCCGGAACAGAAAGTCCACCGAGCTTGATGCTACCAACAGCAGCCAGTAGTGGCGGCGAATATGAGCGGCCTCCAGGCTATGATGACGCTGCGGCAGAAGCTGACATCGACGAAGGGGTCAGCATGGATTATCAGTGGTCACGGCCCACGTGGGATTTTGCACGTTTAGAGACCTCGACACAGCGAGCGCCGGCCAATTCCGAAGAGGAGGGCATGTTTGGCGACAAGGGCAGTTCCAATGACAGCACGCGCGTCGAAGGTAACCATGGCAGCCCAGCACCAAGCTTCACAGATTTAGAGGACAACGGTTCGATCCATCACGACCCAAATGACAATGATCTCCCTCTGTACAGCAGTGAAGCTGGGCCTGTCATGCACCATGAAGACTTTGCACACCCTCGTGGCGCTAGAGAGAGCGCCCCTCCTCCTGATGAGATCGCGTCTGGACGTGGGATGTCAATGCCGGTGAATATGAGCGTACAGGATGACAACGATGATGTCGACGATCCGCCGGTCATGGAGTTGCAGGCAGACCCGGCGAACAATAACGAGTTGAGGTTCAATCCTGCAACTTGATCTTGAGAGCTGAGAGACGGCTAAATTCTTTGGGAGTCCGTGGGTATTGGCGTTGTGGCTGAGATGAATCATTGGCTGGGCAGAAGCTCGTTCCATGTCGATGCATAGGCTGCTTTTGAATGGGCTCGGCAGTCAGTCGACATCAAAAAGAACAGGCCAAAAGGGAGCCACATGGAAAAGGCATGGGATAGCCAGGGGGGCATTTGCGGCCCCCCTCGAAAATGAGGTCTATCAAACCATTATCAGAGTGCGAACAAGGCGTGGGACAAAGTGGTTGCAGATGGTGTGCAGCAAGATTTTGCAGAAATAGAACACAAACCCGCACAATGATGAAGTGAGATGAACAAGATAAAGATGGTGGGGAAGACGGCGCAGGTGAGAAGGCCGGCGAGGCTGAAGGTGTTTCAATGTTTGATCTGATGGAAGACCAGACAGACATCGGCAACTAACTTGAATTACTGAGCCGACGATGAGGTTGGGAGATGGCCGCAGACTCTTTACGCGGAAGACCATCTTACTATATTAAACCTGATCGGATGTTTTCTCCTTCTGATTGCCATCGTCGTCTCTACCTATTCCGCTGTGGCTGTCTGCCTACGTGGTCTCCCATACCTGAATTGACTCACCCGCGGGTGAGCAGTTGCTGAGACGCCTGACACACAATGCCCTCCTCGCTACCATCCAGTTGCTTGCCCTTTGCCGTGTACAAACCAAGCCATCTCACGCTCAGGTTCAGCATTCAGTGATCACTTGAGTTGCATTCCAAACCTGCGAGCCTGCGAGCCAACAAGCCCCCAAAACCCAACCTCAGAGCTACGCAGCCTGTCCACCAGCGGGAACATGCGATGAGTGTCCGAGCCATCTCAGCCTCTACCTTCCAGACATGGCAGCGACTTGGATTCTATACGAGAGCGGCACACTCCTACCCTCGAAGATGGGCGCAGCCTTCCCCTACCTCTGCGATTGTGCGCAAAATTTGCAAGAGAAGGCCTTGTATGATGATGAGTGGATCAGGCAGAGAAGAAGTCCTTCATACTTTGTATTGATGGGAGCATACATCACACATCAGCTGCCAGAGGGTTATGCTGTTCTCTCAAAAGCTGATAGAAGGTGTTCAGTTTACAGATTCATCAGCAAGTTACGGATAGAGGAGACACACCCTCCACCGTGAAGACCAGAGGTCAGCCAAGAGTCACCACGTAAACTCAAGAATGTCCTTGTCGAGCCCCGTTAACAGCGTTTCAAGTACCCTCATTCACCACAAGCCTGGGATTTTACAGACCTCAAGTGGGATTATTCCGGCCTAGCAATAAGTTGACACCACCAAAATGCAGTCTTGATCTTGTCCAGCCAGCATGAAACCTATCTACAAGGCTCCCATGCACCCCAGGTATGTCTGTCCCACTGGTGGCTGCTGTACCAGAAATGAGCCCCACGGTGTGTTGCGTGGTTCCTATTCATGGGCGACATATCTGCTTTCTCGCTACTGAGAACGGTGACCTGGCAATGGCAACAGGAACAGCGAGTCAGCGTGTGATAGCGATGAACCCTCTGTGCCCAGATGACTTCTCGCAGGCCTAAAGTCTCTACAAATGGAAGGCAAGTGGAGAACCTCCGCATTTTTCTGCAACCAACGGGTGGATTTGCCCCAGATTTCCCCGACCATTTTGTCCAACTGTCCCTTGGATATCCACCCGTGCACAGCGGAGGGAACCAGCTTCTGGTGAGAAATGCCCGTACCAAGTACGCAAGGCTTGTCTGGCGTCTCCACTACCAGACTAAGGTCGATACAGATCCTGACAAATGTCGCCTGTGGTACGCCACCGAAAAATCACTAAACCCCAACCATCCTATACCAGCGCACCTTTCATGCTCTCTTGCCTTGGCCGTCCTTGGTCACAACTTAATGACCACAAGATGACTCGACCTCGTGTTGCTCTACCGCACACCCGTGGGACCATCTCAATCGAGACATGTGGAGTGTGGAGTGGATGGTATGGAGAAAAGTTGGGGCTGTCGCAGTCTGCTCAGTAAGTATATAACCGGTCTCCTCTTCTATATTCATGAAACCCTGGAAGTGGCCTGTGCCCTTCTAAGTGTGGTCTTGCTGTATATGCCTTGCCGCTGCTAAAGCGCCTGGTCACCTTGAACTTCACCCTTTCCTCCAGAAATCGAAATTGCAATAGTAGACAAGATGGGGCTCGGTGTCTTGGAAGGTTGGTACTTGTCATTACGTTGCCCCTGTCGTTAGAGGCATTGCTCGACGCTGATACTTCCTCGCCACAGATACCAAACTTCCGCATGTGCCTGGTACCGTACTCTTGAACGACGAAGCTGCCCATGCAGAAGCTCAGACGGCGAACCTCAAGCATGGGACCGGCAAGAACTCCCATATCGTGCTTTCTCCGCAACCAAGCGATGATCCGAATGATCCACTCAACTGGTCTCTTTTGAAGAAAGAGGCTATCATTTGGATTCTCTGCTTCGGTGCGATGTTAAACGCGGCAACGAATGTGCGCTTCCCGTTGCAGTGGTGATGTATATGTCTGCTCACTATCGATAGGGTCCTTTCTTGAACGCTTCATACTTTGCCATTGCCCAGGAAATCAACACTGATCTTACGACCACAGTCATGGTCTCAGGCTACAACATTCTCGCGGCCGGCTGCGCTGGTCCTTTCGTCTGTGCATTTAGCCGTAGGTATGGCAAACGGCCTGTATTCATTGTGTCGACTCTCTTCTGCATCATCGGAACCGCAATCGGCGAAGCGAAAATAAGTTACAATTACCTCCTCGCGGCTCGAATTGTGCAGGGTTTCTCGACCAGCGCGTTTGAGTCCCTGATAGTCGCGGCCGTGGGAGATCTCTACTGCGTGCACCAGCGAGGGCTACGAATCTCAACCATCAACTTCATCCTGAACTCAGCGTCTAGTTTGGCTTCGATCATCTGCGGTCAAGTCTTCAACGACTTGGGTCTCCTCTGGCTTTTCCACCTTTTCCAGATATTCCTGGTTGTTCAGTTCGTCCTCATGTTCCTCTTCGTCCCGGAGACAACATATCGTCGCGAATCGATGTACGACACTGACATCGTCAGAGAGGAGACATTCGATCAAATTGAAAAAGCTCATGAAGAGCACCGTGAGCACGCTATTGGCGTCAAAGAGCTGAACGAATCCTCTACAGGCTCCTCGCGCTACCCCCCAAAAAAGACATTTGTCCAGGAACTCAAGCTCTATAACGGCATCTTCTCCCACGACAATATTCTCAAGTGGGTCTTCGGTATGTTCCTGACCCTGCTCAACCCGGCTGGATGCTACTCCATCATTGTCTCGGGTCTCCTCTGTGCTTGGTATGTCGGCTCAGCTATCATCCTCGCGGGCATCTTTGCGGGCCCACCCTGGTTGTTTGATCCTGCCCAGATTGGCTATATTGGAGCTGGGCCCTTCATCGGTGGAATGATTGGGTCCATCATTGTGGCGCTGACCGGGGATCGAGTGGTGAAGTGGATGACCATTAAGAACAGAGGCACTTAGTAAGTCTCCTCTCCTCTTCGAAGGGGGATGACAGGGGATTCATTACTGACTGAAAATAGTGAACCTGAATTCCGACTCGTATTTATGCTTCCCTGCGCAGTGTTTTCCGCCTTTGGCATGTTCTTCTTCGGCTATACCATGGCCCACGGCTCCAACGCTGTCCTCTGCGCCTTCTGTCAAGGCCTGATGATGGTCGGTGTCCTCATTGGCGTATGGTCGACCATGTCCTATGGGCTCGACGCCTTCCGTAGCCAGAGCAATGAAATGTTCGTGATGAACATGTTCTTCAAGGTATGGTTGTTCCTTGAAATAATGGGATAGATCGCTGACAGTTGCAATACAGAACTTCATGTTTTATGGCCTTTCCAATTTCGCCAACAACTGGGTCGCTGCTAAAGGTCCTGAGGAGATTGTAAGTTTTCCGTCCTTTGGCTCAACATTGTACCGGCGGGACCATACATGTGTCCGTATAGGGGCCATGTCTGGGTCTGCCGGCCCGATAAAGCCGTTTTATACAGCTGCTCTTTGGACTGGGGAGATGCAAGTGCTGATGTCTTTGCAGATGTTCACATTTGGCGGAACCACCTTGGCAATGTGCATTCTTGCCATCCCCGTGTATATATTTGGCAAGAGACTGAGGAGTTGGTGGACCAGACATGATCTCTTCGTCTTCTTCGGCATGCAGGCCAGCGGACCAGAGTCACACATGGGCTAAACTCATGAAGAAGACGAGATTGCTTCAGACGACGTTAATGAGCTGGGTGCGTCACTTACAGAGATTGCACGATGTAATGAACAGCAAGCGAGGGGCATGTGTTGATGAGTACCAGATGCGTGTAATACTATAAGTTGTCCATATGACATGCCAAATAGTCAGGTTTAATATGTCCGTCTACTCAGGGCAGTTCACGATTGACCGCCTTTCAGAATTCAGAATCGACTTGTTCTTGCGAAGGTGCAAAGCCTGGTCCTTCAGGACGCGAGATCTGTTCGATTGACAATGAAGAGCTGATTTGGCAGTTGTGCTTCCCATTTCACTCAGGTTCTGCTGGACCAGTGGAGAGCCTTTAGAAATGGGGATCGATCGAGTACGTCATTTCCAAAGCTGCGGAACTGCCATAGCGCGGCTCCCACGACATGCAAGTCGTCCTGAGGCATTAATTCATCTTTTGTACTTGCATGTGGAACTTGTAGACGGCTATATGGAGCATCGGATCAGACAGGATGACAAGGCCGGGCACCCGGAGCAGAAATGCCAAGACGTATCACGTGTGTTCCCGAAAAGGGGAGCTTGAGAAATGGTTGCGTGGTTGTTGCTCCCTCGGGACTGCGGCAACGATACCCCAAGCGAGCCCTTGACAGTTCTCCATTGGGGCCATTGGGGTCGACAGCAGTCCAGACGCCGGCCTTGGTTGGTTGGTTGGTCCGCTTGCTCCAGAGCTCGTTTTCGAAACCTTTTCGCAGTGCAGATCTCCTCGTAGAATATCTCGCCAGCTTCACTTTATCCCTCTCTTTCTTCCTCATTCCCAATCAAACCATCTTGTCGTCTCACTGTCCATCTTCCGCTTTCTTCCCTCACTTCTTCTCCCTGGGATCTACTTTCTTGTTCGCCTTGTAGTAAAACCATGTCTGTCGCCAGGCAAATGTTTGGACAAGTCCAGCGTCGAGCTTTCTCGGCGTCTGCTAGACAGGTTAGTTTTCTCTGTCACGGGTTCTCGCATACCGCACACCGCATCTTCTATCCTTTTGGGATGAGTTCGTCCAAGGCTAATGTTTTGATGCTTTGGGCAACAGTCCTCCAAAGTCGCAGTCCTCGGTGCCGCCGGTGGTATCGGACAGCCTCTGTCGCTGTTGATGAAGCTCAACCCCCGTGTCTCTCAATTAGCCCTCTACGATATCCGCCTGGGTCCAGGTCCGTTCTGTTCACGATCTTTGACAAAAACAAGAAAGAATATTGATCAAGACTGTGGAAATAAACAGGTGTCGCAGCCGATATCAGCCACATCAACACCAAGAGCACCGTCAAGGGCTACGACCCAACTCCCTCGGGTCTCCGAGAATGTCTGGAAGGAAGTGACGTTGTCCTCATTCCCGCCGGTGTCCCCAGAAAGCCTGGCATGACCCGTGATGGTAAGAAGATGGTTTCCAGACAACGAAGATGCAGATTCTGACGAGGTTGGTAGATCTGTTCAACACCAATGCTAGCATCGTTCGGGACCTCGCAAAGGCTGCGGCTGATGCGGCTCCCAATGCCAACCTTCTGATCATCTCCAACCCTGTACGTGGACATAAAAAGACGCCTTCACCGCATTTCGATGAGACGGTGCTAATAACTGTTCAAAGGTCAACTCGACCGTTCCCATCTGCGCCGAGGTCTTCAAGAGCAAGGGTGTCTACAACCCCAAGCGTCTCTTTGGTGTCACCACTCTCGATATCGTCCGTGCCTCCCGATTCGTCTCCGAAATCAAGGGCACAGACCCTGCTAATGAGAACATCACCGTTGTTGGTGGACACTCGGGCGTCACCATTGTCCCCTTGATCTCGCAGTCCGGTCACTCCGACATTACTGGTGAGAAGCTTGACGCCTTGGTCAACCGAATTCAATTCGGTGGTGACGAGGTCGTCAAGGCCAAGGACGGTGCCGGTTCGGCTACTTTGTCGATGGCTATGGCCGGTGCCAGATTTGCCGAGAGCTTGCTCAAGGCCGCTCAAGGCGAGAAGGGCGTGGTGGAGTGCACCTTCGTCGACAGCCCCTTGTACAAGGACCAAGGCATTGATTTCTTCTCCTCCAAAGTTGAGCTTGGTCCCGACGGTGTTCAGAAGATTCACCCGGTCGGCCGCATCAACCAGTACGAGGAGAACCTGCTGGAGGCATGCTTGGGAGGTGAGTTCCGCTCTAATGCAACCCTAACTCACGTGTGACTGACCGAATTTCCAGACTTGAAGAAGAACATTCAGAAGGGTGTGGACTTTGTCAAGGCTAATCCATAGACAAATGGAGTGATCCCCGGGGCCTTTTTGGAGCTGGCATGTACAAACAACAGACCTCCAAAGTTCTTTGGAGCGTGGGGTTCTTGTGGAAGACGGACACACCGAGTTTCCAAGTCATCGACTCTTCTAGTTGGATGTATCTTTGAGCGCTCTGCAAGACACTAATTAACCAACCCCTCCTTTTCCCGCCGGTCTTAGTGTGCGACCCATGTTTCCCACCGTCTTTTCCTCTCGAGGCCTCCCGCAATCGTGGGCCCCGTACGCGAGTCGAATGCACCGTGCCTTCTTCCCCGAAAGCCGCCAATGTACTCGATGCAAAAGTAGACAATCTTTGCCGAAGGGATGGATGGGTCCGAGACTCGGTATCCAATCAGACAGGCCCAGTGTTGTGACAACCTTGGAAGTGTGCTGAGTTGACATGTTCTGACAGGTCTTGAACAAGCAAGCTCCGTGCTGGCAATGGCATGGAAGAGGGCTTGAGGCCTTGAGATGGGTTAGAGGAGAGAGAGGGTGTCGGGCTGGTACTGGACGCCCCGGCACTCAATCAATCAGACGCATGGATGGCAAGGATGCATGAATGACACGGGCGCATGGGACTCAGTCGAGGTCCTCTCTCTCTGGTGCACGTATTAATACCCCTCTCGGCCCTGCTGGATGGGCGACCTGCTCTTGCCAACCTTGCCCACGAGTCCATGACTTGTCCTGTTTGTTCTGCCTGAACTTGCTTGCCTTGTCCCCTCACCGTCACGTCACTCACTTTTCACCTTTGGGCACCCAATCTACTGCTACTGCTTCTACCAGGGTCCCTGTTTTGTTGGCGCCCGCCCACCTGGAACAAAAGACACCAAGCCAAGCCTGTCACTTGGGTTCAGCTGAGATTTGAATTTCGGGGGCAGCGATCATCACCACCCTGACTCGACTCTCACAGACAACGTTTTTCGCATCTCTCCCGTTCGTCCATCGAGGGTGTGACATCTCATCCCGAGTTGCGTTGTCACCGTGGACCGAGTCGCCCAGTTGTCCTGAGCCAAATTGTTGAATTATCGCCCTCTCTAGCCTCTGGTCCATTGATCAATCAATCTCGCAGAAACGGATCCCCACCGATCCAATATCCCCCACAATTACGCTCCGCCCCCAGCATTCTTAGCATCTGGAACTAAACTACTTGGTCGCTAACCAGCCCGGAAACCTCGCCAAACAACTATATAGCCCACTGACGACCAACTCAACTCAGGTGGCATGGGGCCGAGTCGCGAGTTCATGTCCTAAGTCATCAAGGAAGGGTCATCTATATATGGCAACATTTCCCAGCATGTCCCGTACCGTCGACTTCGATGGCGACCAGGAGATGGCCGATCCCGCCGCCATCGCTGCCAGAGCCAACCGATTCGATTTTGACTGGAGAGCACGGCGTCTAGCTAATCTCTCGGGTGAAGAGCGACACACTGTCGAGGTGGATATAGCCTCTACAGATGGAAGAACATACCTCGAAGAAAACCCTTGGACAAGACCGGCTCCCTTGCCCAATCCTCTGTTAGATTTGCCGCCGATTGCCCCCGGTAATCCATATTTCTTTCATGAGCAAATGGCCGTGCCTATAGACAGGCTTGGGCAGCCTGAAAGACAAACACTTCCGCCTTTGAGCTCTCTGGGGTTCAATTGGAACAGGTGGCAAGCAGAGGAGTTTGTTGACCAACGGAGAAGAGCCAATGCGATACCTCCTCCTCAACAACAACAAATTCCAGAGCCGCTTGAAGACGCTCATGCTGCTGATTATCCTGCGCATGATGCCTATGCACCCCAACGCTCGACACTGCCCACCGAGTGTGTCGTTTGCTTTGAGGAGCACCAAGCCGGGGAGCTGGTTGTCTTACACCATTGCCAGTGTGCCTATTGCCTCCCCTGTCTCAACCAGGCCTTCCGAATAGCCTGCAAGAATCGAGGATCTTTCCCTCCCATGTGCCACAGCGTCCCTCTCCGTATATCTTCTCTGGGCAGCGTGCTTGATCATGATGTAGTGGCACGCTACAAACAGATTGAAGCCGAGTTTGGCGCGCATCGTCCATTCTACTGCGCTGCGCAAAGGTGCTCGGCCTTCATTCCAGAAAAGGACTATTTCGCCGAGCAACAGGTGGCGGTCTGTCCTCAATGTCACAACTGGACATGCAAGTCTTGCGAACGGCTCCAGGGCGATCATCCCAGTTGGGCTACCGACGTGGAGGAGCGTGTGTGTCCGGCGCCTGAGGAAGGAGTCACCAAATTGTATGAGCTGGGGAACGAACACCAATGGAGACAGTGTCCTACTTGTGGGACCATGGTGGAGAAGACTGATGGCTGTGACCATATGGACTGTGTCTGCGGCGTCGAGTTCTGCTACGTCTGTGGCAGCCTTTTCGATGAAAGCAGTCGTTGTGGGTGCGACTATGAGGAAGATTATACCGACGATGATGGAGATTATACCGATGAGGAGAACAGTGCCATTGATGAACCACTACCTTCTCTGCGATGGCCTTCTCCTGCGATTCCTCTTACTATGGTTCCTCCTATACCTCTTGACTGGATCCTCCTGTTTGCACGAGAGCGACTTTACATTTGAGTATGCTGAGACGACTTGTCGGAAGCTGGAAGATTCACACATCTTTCTCGGTCTCTGGGCTGTTTCCTTTTTTTTTGAGTGAGGGCAGGACCGTCAGCACAGCCAGGCTCTCAGGCTATTAGAAACCT